TCCATCCTTTCGATGTCAGTAATCCCATAGCCAGATTGAAAACCAAAGCCACAACAAACTCTGCTGATGCAAAGGGAAGAGATCTGGGCTTTTATTAGAAGAAATGCCAGGAGCTCTGGGAGGAGTAACTCAAAGCAGAATGGCTCGAAGTTTACAGAGATAATCAGAGGAAAGGCTGCAGTAGTGGCTTCCGTGTTTAGATAAGAAAACAGTGGAAAGAAGCAGCTTGTGCCTCTCTAACTCCATTCTAGTGTATGGTATAGAGGTGCTGAACTGACCCATGGCTTTTGGAGTTTGAAGAGGGAGAGAATAAAACAGAAGGAAGGACTAGCCCTCTGGGAAATGACCCATTTTTACACCACAGCATCCACTGAACGGTACTCCTGATGAAACTGGAATAGGCAAGTCAAAGTCAAAGTCCTTCACCTGGAAGGAGGCTCAGGAGAGCCCATCTTCAATTTGTTAGCGGGGTGGAGAAGACTCATCATGGCCACAACTTTTTTCTGAAACATCTTCTACTCCTTAGCTTTCCCCTTGAACTGCAAAAATTCATACTCCCAAGTACTTGAGCCGCAAAGACACAGAGCTCTGCCTGACAACTCCTACAGGTGGATTTATGTCATTTAGCTTAGCCCTGGTAACCATAGAAAACACTCTTATGAATGATGTAAGGATTGCTTTTAAATCGCTGCTCTTGTTTACATGATAAAAGCGAATTCAGACAACTTCAGTAATCTCCCAAAGACTCACATCAGAAAAGAAACGCAGTTTTTCTTTCCAGATGGGTAAACTGAGACAGTTGAAATGTGCTTCTCCTGATAACAGCAAAAAGGAGCAGCGTTGGGAATATAATGCTGCAGGCCTGGTTCCTGGTTCCCTGTTCTCATCAATAAAACACAGTCAACACCTTGCTCTGATTGCTGTATTGACATGCCCCAATTCTCCCACTAATTCTAAATTGTATTTGTATTTAGATATAAATTGTATTTAACCTTTCCAGCAGAAGCTTTACTTTTTAAATCATTTCTAAGAGCTCTTAGGAGAACACATTGGAATCCAGTCTTGTAATCCCAGGGGAGAAAGCAACGTGAAGGTTAAATGACTAACCATTGGTCACGCGGACTGCTATTGCCAGTGTAAATGATAACTTGTAAGATGGCATTCCTTCTACTTCTGTGAATGCTTGAACATTTTTATAGCAAAGCATTTAAACTGACACCAAAATCAAAATATGACAAAGTAGAAATTGTATCCATTTGCTCACTAAGCTCACTTTTTACAAAACACTTTTAATAGCTCTATGTCTTTAATTCCTTTGTTTCCCAAACCCTGTTGGCTCATAGTAAGAGATTTACATGCATATAATGAACATAGTATGTTAAGTGACTCCAGGAAAAATAGTGAAGGCTTGAACAGCACACTGCCTTGGTGTATTTGTGTCAGCTACTGACATTAATACACTCTGTTCCCAGCGCAAGTGATATCACTATTTGAGGTGAAAGACACTGAGTATAGGATTGAAAGGGAACAGACTGACGAAACTTCCCAGTAACTCAGAATATTGGCATGTGGCAAGGAAATTGAAAATTTCCCCAGTACTTTCAGAAATTTCTATTTAAATAGAAAGCCTTCTAGTGGGAAATAACATGCAGCTCATATTTTAATACAAAATCAACAAGATGGTGGTTTTTAAGACTTGGTGATAGAACTCCAAATACAGTGGGGCAAGAAAGAAGTAGAATGTGCAAAATATAGAAGGAAATACTGGGAAAAACCCTTTACATGTCTGAATATTTCATACAGGATGCAGTATTTTATGAAATTTAAGCAGAAGGATGACATAATTTTTTTATTCTTAAACTGAGGTGATCAGAGAGAAAAAAACAGAAATCAAAAAAATAATTTCAGGGTATTTGAATAATGTAGATGTGCCAGAGACCCGTGCAGTAAGTCCCTAGTCCCCACCTGCCAAGCATGTGATGCAGGCCTGAGAGAAAAACACACTAAGAAACAGAACTTGTGCCAGGACGACCAATGTCGGTGCAACCAACAAAGGCACCAGCCAGTCCCAGGCACCAACTTTTGTTGGCAGTCAATTGGGGTAAAGGCAAGCTATGTGCAGTTTCTAGGGAAATTAATGTAAACAAGGCTCATAAAGGACAAGACAAAGCATTCTCAAATTAGGAACAGAATAGACAAAATACAGGGTTGTAATTAGAACGTTGTCTTTCCAGTCTGAAGTTTTTAGTTGTGGGAATGGAATTTGGGTGCAAGTTACTCTGACTCTGGCTTCAGCTGGACTCACTTCTGCAAACAATCAGATTGTGGAGTTCACTCCTCACAGCCTGCTTGGGCGTCATCAGCATTACAGTCCTCTGCATAGCTAAGAGCTAATAAATACATGTCCAACATACTATAGTTACATGGTCAAAAGCAGGAGTCCTACTTGAGAGCTAATGTAGAGGTAGAATTAATTAGAAATATGAGAAACATCAAAGAGTGTTCTGCAACATTGGGTGCATGGTGGCCATGCAAGATGGAAAACATGCAAATCTGTTGAGAAAACATTGAGATTTGGAAATTTTCCTTGGCCTGGTTATGGGAGTCTTGATTTAAAATGTCCGGCAGTTAACAAGAGAGGCATAGCAGGAGCTCAGTCAGGATATGAGGGAGAAATTCTTACAGCACTGTGGTTATTGAGTTGTCAGGTAACCTAGAAAGATTGCTCCAAGTTCCAAGAGACCAGAAGATTGAACTACGGAAATGCCACATGATCTGTTAGTGACATCTTTGTAATCTGTGTTGTAAAGCACTAAAGATGCACTAATATAAACAGAATATTTCACTTCAGACCATGTACACACACACACACAAACGCACACACACCACTTTGAAGCTCAGAAAAAAAAATCTCTGTCTGTAAAGCGGGGAAGTTTCTACTCACTCAAAAGGGCATCCTCTTGCTGTTATGTGGATGTGACTTCAGAGTCCCCTCAAAATTTCATGAGTTGGAAGCCCGGTCTTCAGGATGACCCTGTGGACATGGAAGGCTCTTTAAGGGGTGGGGCCTGGTGGGGGTGAAGTACATCAATGGGGCCAGCATGTGTTGGGAACAGGGAAAGGAAACGATACTAGAATTCCTGCAGTGAGCCATAGTCTGCACAAGGCAAAGTAATTAATATACAGACAGGAATGAGACTTAGAGAAGAAGCTGGGCTTTAGGCCTGATCACTGCTGCTCTAGGCAGCAAAGACGAAAGACCCTGTTCTTGCCACACCATCATCTGGTGAATTGCGAGTAGCAGATGACTCAGAGGGCTGCAGTGATAATTCCAGAACAATGAGGAATTTATGCAGATGGGACCCTAGCTCAGGAAGAGCTTACATGGATTAGGATTTGTCCCTCCCTACGATGTCTTCAGCTGATGTCATCCTTTCCTGGAGCATCACAGCATCAGGGGACCATTGAGGTCAGCTGTGGCCAGAGATGAAAACAGTTATGTCTCGACTGTAGGAGACATAGCTGGCCTGTAGGAGGAAAATTGGCCCTAATCACGATGATTTAATTGTGAAACAAATTTCCCCCCACATTATGCAGAATTGCTGCCAACATTCTTGCAGAGGTAGGTGGGTTGTTACACAGAACAGACTCGGACTTCTCCCAGGCTCTCACTTCCTGTCTTGCCTTGGGATCTTTTTCACTCACGGTCCTGTCCCCCATGAGGCCTTCTGACATGTCATCTTCTCCAGCAGCCTGGTGCCGTGCTCCTGAACTTCCAGACTGAACTGAATAACCCTCTTTTATTTACAAAGTGCCCGCTCTCAGGTATTTTGCGATAGCAATAGAAAACTGAGTAATGTACTTCTGAAAGAAGAAACCGACGTAGAGGACTTCAAAGACACCTAAGAACAGCAAAGTAAAGAAAAACTTTCTAACAAATGGAACCATGCTAAATGAAAGTTTGGCTAGATGAGAGTGAATTTCCAGGCACTGCAGTGGTGTGTGATGGTACACGCAGCACGTAAGAGACCTACATTAAATGAGGAAGACTGATTGATTTTTGAGAGTTGTTAATGATGATAATGAAATAATAAATAAGCGGTTCTTTAAAGCGCCCCCTAAAACTGATTTCTGTCCAGCCTTATGTTTAAGATTTTACCTCAAGCAGCTCTCTGATCAATTTTTTAGAACTTTACGCATAAGGGCTGATCTGAAGACAAGGTTTTCATGTGGTGACAGAGCTATAAAGGTGACTTGTCACTCATCTCACGGAAATGCTGCACCTGACGTCAGACATAACCAGGAAATCACATAAGACCTCCACACAGAATTATCACTTTGCCAATATCTTTATTTTGAACATGGTAGATTTCCTTGATATTTTAAAGTTCAGCTCCCCCTTCATTTCAGTCTCTCCCTTTACGACCCAGGTAGAATCACAGAGCTGAAATGGCCAGAAAGGTCCCTGGCAAATCCATCATCAGGCAGAATGATGGTTTTTACATAAGGAAGGCAAGGAAGGCCAAAATATTTTCATCATAACAATTTCATGACTTTTTAGTTCTGAAATTTACATGTTTTGTATACAGACATATGAAGTACATAGGAATAAGCATTTGATCCTAAGACCATTTCCACAACCTATCTAGCTTCAATTTTAAATTAAATACATTTTTATTGAAGGAGTTCGCATGTGACTCTTTTAATATTCATCAGAGTCACTTTACGGAGACTTTTTGTCTTCAAGGTTTTAAAAAGAACTTTGAAAAGAACTGGGGCTTAACCCAGTCATCCTGTCTGCCCACAATTCTTTTCTCTCCACTCAAATTGGGGACAAACAATGACAACTTCAAAACTCCTGGGGTCTTATATACATATTTCTTCGAGGAATTTACATGTTAGGAGCCTGAGGTAGTATTATTTTGCCACATGATCCACACTCTGTAATATTCCTTAATCATTCATTTCTAATATTGAAAGTCAATAATTATTCTCAAGCAAAATGTTACAGGTCTCATTGTCACCACTATAATACTCTTACTGTGCTGGAAGTGACCTGTGTCTCAATTTTAGCCACAGTGACCAATCAACAGTATCCATCAAGTTTTGTTTTTAAGAAAACTATTAGCTTACTTTTATAGTGAACTTTACACACACACAATCTCCAAGAGCCTTTACCTAATATTCCAGCATTGCTGTATTTATTTTCCTTTTTCTATATGAACCATCCATTCACATTTTAAGTTCTACATTTTCTTCTTTGTTAAGTCTTCAGTGTTCCTGCAATGCTTCTGAATGAGAATGATGTGTACCATTGTCAAAGACACGTTCCCTTGGAACCCCTCGAAGGGGTCTGTTGGGCTTTCTAAAGCTCAGGCTTAATATGTAAAACACTTTTTAAATTGTTGTACAGCACCCTCTTTCTTTTTAAAACATGACACAACTCTCTGCTTCTGGGTGCAATTAGGACAGAATATATGAAAAATGTCAGCAAGAATAACAGTTGAATGTTTGGCATTGAACATGTGCTAGAATCGTTTTAGGACGATCCTATGTTGGAAATTCTAGCCAGAAAAAGGTCAGCTTTTCTGGCCAGAGCAATTAACAAAGCAGCACTAATTTCTTCCACAATAGCACACAGACAGAAAATATGTGGATTATTTTTCCATTCTAAGTGAAATTTGGTATCTCAGTACCTTACCTAATAATATTGGAAAAATATGAACAGTATATAAGTCATTTAACTCTGCACAGCACAAAATATGCAGGATGTCCATCTCTATCATTTAGTTTGACAGGAAAAGTACATGCTTTGTTTTGTCCATATAGATGCAGATTCTGATCAATGAGTTGTTACCAGGGATTTATTTTGTACTTGGAACTGTCACACTTGTGCTGCAGTCAGATGCCGTCAATGAAGATGATAAGGATAATCTGTCCAGACAAAGGCATGGAACAGATAAAATGTTCCGATTTCATTTCGCACATATTGAACATGTGTATTAAGCATTAGGTGTCTTCTATGTGCATGAGTGAAGATTATTGAGAGCATTTCCAAGTGCTAACTGTGGCTTCGACATGGTCTGAGGTAATATGTTGAGACTGTATTAATTAACAAAGTATTGTGCATTTGGAAAATGTTTCCACCTGTCTTCCAAACTATCTAATTATCACCACAGTGAATATTTCAGTTCAACGCCTCTATACGTTAAGCTCTTCTCTAAAAGTTACAAATATATTTTCATGCGTGCGTGAAAGGAAGAGGCATCAATCTAAGAGCTTGGGGTATGCAACCGTATTGTAATCATTTAATATTATGATTTTCTGTCATTTTACTTTGAGGTCTCTTTCTAGTTAGAATAAGAAACATTATTTTCTCTTAGGAAAAATTTATTTAAGCCAAAAAGAAAAAAGCTTAAGTTGAAGGAACATGTACTGTGGGAGTGATGTGTCAGTTTGGCAGTGTGAGGTCTGTACACAAACGCCCGAGGTGTTTGAGTTACTTAGCTTGGGGCAAAGCGCTGTCTCACCACACTCCTAATCTAAGTGCTTTGCTATACTATATACTACTGGAAATCCTGGGACAGTGATTATCTCCATCCTAGAAATCCCTGCTATTTTAAAGACAGGATAGAATTGGACTAGAAAAGGTTTGTATGAAAAGACACAGTTTTAAAAAGAAATGCTTGGGTTACCAAGTGTAACTGTACCACTGATGCATTTTTTGTCAATCTCGAGAACGGAATGTGCCTATTCTTTGTTCTATGATGAGCTTTGCATATTTGCTCCCTTTATGGTTACAAAATAACCACAAATATCACAGTATTTTGGGCTCTTTCATGATGTAGATAAGGCAACAATGGAAATACATACTGTATGCACAGGCATGTGTTATTTAGGCTATGACTGATTATGCATAAAATAGCAAAGAAAAAGATGGAAGGAAAGAAGGAAGGGAAGGGAGGGAGAGAGGAAGGGAAGGTCCAGTTAGTTAATCAGTCAGGTCTCCATCAAGTTTCCTGGTTGCAGTTTTCTGTTCCTGATGAGAAATAACAGTGTCCTCATGTCCTTGCCATAAAAAGAACGAATGACAGAAATGAGAGTCAAACTCAGAAACCATGATTTCTAGACCAATCTCCTTGTACTCTAGCAGCAGCATACGTACAGTCCTCCCAGAAGTAGCCCAACAAATGGACTGCAAAGAGCACAGGAGAAACCTCTGGAGGAGGAGTAAAGAGACCAAGTCATGAGAACTTTGATGACCGTGCAAGCTGTTAGGACCAGTTTCCTCTCTGAAAAACTTTTCCTTGTCTCATGTGATCTATTGTGAAAATATTAGGCGTAATTATAACTCTACATTTCTGTCCTTCCTCCTGTGACACCGATCCTTGTTGCTGACCATGATTCCTAACCCATGTTCTCCCACAGATTTCTCATTTCCACGTTTCCTACTTTGAGATGGGTGAGGAAACCAGACAGAAGCCATGCAGCACTGGTGTTTGCCAGACAGCTCTCTTCTGTCCCTCTCCTGGCTGCAACTGCACCCCAAGGACGCTGTCTGTGACCTACGACCCTGGAGAGAGTCATCTGTTCTCTCTCCCTTGGAGAACAAGTCAAAGTTCAGGAAGGAAAAGAGCCAAAACTCCAGAGGTTTAAAGAGCAGTTCTTCCAAACTTAGGATTCTGGAGGTAAATGGATGAGGGACAAGAACGAACTGAAGAGAACTCATACTGAAATTCGTTATGCTCTTGAGAAATTCTGTTCCCTCTGAAGTCCTTCCTCTTACTCACTGGCTGATTAACAGATCGGAAGTTTTGTTTGCACTGCACTTTGATAAAAACTCTGCTATGACACATATTTTAGATAAATTTCACATGTTTAGATTTGACTTTTGTAACTGACCTGCTACAAGGGAAGAATCTGTTTTATTTATGTCTATCACTTCAGCACCCTACTCAGTGTTATATAACAAGCCCCGAGCACTTTTTGGGGTGGGGACAAGATGAAAGGGCGTGATGAAGAGAGGAGAAATGAGTGAATTTTCTTTATTCTTTAAAGAAGATTGCTTTGCTTTTATCATCTCTGCTTGCAGTGCTGTAATTTTAACCTAGATTTTAGCACAAAATATTTTTAAAGATGTGTTTTCTCAGGTAATAAGATAATTGTAATAACTGCTGCTCAAAAGATATTTGTACCTTAGTATCCATTTTGGTTGCTTGGCTTAAAACAAAACAGAAATTTTCTCCAGTCAGTATTTTCTCTGTGACACAGCAGACATATGTAAATGGCAATCACAAAGTGTTTTAATCAGTTTTTCTTCTGCCTATGGAATTATTTTTGTTTCCAGTTCTAAAAACCAAAAGAAAAGAGTTATGCATTTTAAAAAAATCTAGATGATTTGCCTTTTGATTCGAGATCTGGGCACTCATTCTTGTGCTGCAATTAGAATCAAGCAAATCAGTAAGCACCACTAAGAGGACGTCCTGTGTGAATTTAAATAGCTGATATTTTTAGTTCACTTTTCCCAATGTTAAGCCACTGTTCCACACACATTAGAGGAATTTTTAGGTCAAGTATTTACCTAACCAATTTCTGGATATATATTTTTTGCTGTTGTTTTGAGGTAAGAACTTGACATTTATCTTTTTTTTTTTTTTTTTTTTTTTTTTTGTTT